GGAGGAGGATGGGGATGTTGATGATGCTGATGATGATGATGATGTTGATGATGCTGATGCTGGTGATGCTGATGATGTTGATGATGACGCTGATCATGCTGACGACGATGATGTTGATCACGATGACGATGTCGATGACGATGCTGATGACGATGCTGATGATGATGATGCAGATGCTGATTATAATGCTGATGATGTTGATGATGCTGCTGCTGATGATGCTGATTCTGGTGATGATGATGATGAGGAGGAGCATGACGAGGGTGATGATGATGATGCTGATGCTGATGCTGATGCTGATGCTGCTGATGATGATGATGATGATGATGATGATGCTGATGATGATGATGATGATGATGATGATGATGATAATGCTGCTGATGCTGATGATGATGATGATGTTGATGATGATGCTGATGATGATGCTGCTGATGATGATGCTGATGATGCTGATGATGATGACGATGATGATGATGCTGATGATGCTGATGATGATGATGAGGAGGAGGAGGCGGAGGAGGAGGAGGAGGAGGAGGAGCTGGAGGAGGAGGAGGAGAGGAGGAGGAGAGGAAGAGGAGATGAGGATGAGTAAGAGGAGGAGGAGGAGGAGGAAGAGAGGAGGATGATGATGGAGGAGGAGAGCAGGAGGAGGAGGGGGAGCAGGAGGAGGAGGAGGAGGAGGAGGAGGAGGAGGAGGAGGAGGAGGAGGAGGAGGAGGAGGAGGTGTGAGGAGGAGGAAAAGGAGAAGGATGAAGAAGTGGAGCGTTTGGAGGTGGATGGAGGCGATCGGATTTGGAGGGCATGGAGGCGCAGAAGATGTGCAGCAGGACGACAGTAAGGACCTGGGAAGCTCACGAGGAGAGGAGGCGGACGCGCGGTGCACGCCTCTGGCAGACTTAGCTGCCGCCTTGGCTCCCAACTCTGGTCGTCTGCTCCTGGAGGCCTTTCGAGAGGGCCCCAAACGCTTCAGAACATGTCAGAATCCCGGCTCCTCCTCTGTTGACTCTGCTCAGGGCCCACCACCGTTTCCCCCCTGACTCCGTTAGCATCAGGTGCTGCGTCGCTGCGTGCTCCCTCGCCGCTTGGACTTCGGTGCTGCTGTGCCTTCTCAAGGGTCGACGGCCCAGAAGATTCCCTCGGGTGGTTGGCGGCGAGGCAACAGCTACAGAGCGCGCGCAGACGAGGCAAAGTGCTCACAGAGAGGGAAACGGATGAGGATGATGATGAGGAGGAGGAGGAGGAGGAGGAGGAGGAGGAGGAGGAGGAGACGTGGAGGAGGTGGAGGAGGAGGAGGACGAGGAAGAGAAGGATAAGGATTCCTTCCCGACCGCCGAGGGCCCAGGGGCAAAACCACAGCGCGCCGCCCCCAAGGCCGCAGCCGCAGCCGCAGCAGCCCAATGCGCGGACCTCGCCAGCACTGCCCTCTTCCCCGCCGCGAGCCAGCTGGCCCTCCGGAAGGCACCCCCGCCGCGGCGCCGACCTGGCGCCGCAGCCGCACGCCATGGCCGCCGCCGCCGCCGCCATCGCCGATGTGGCCGCAGTCTCAGGCTGCCGCCGCAGTTGTCGCCGCCTGCCGCTGCAGGCCGCGCGGGACGCCGCCCACTCCGCGCCTTTCTGCTGCTTCTCTCCGTCCTCCTCGTTCTCGGCCTCGTCGTCCTCGTCCCCGTCGTCGTCGTCGTCGTCTTCATCGTCGTCACGTCGTCGTCACGTCGTTTGCGTCGTCGCCGTCGCCGTCGCGGTCGCCGTTGTCGTTGCCGCCGCCGTCGTTGCCATCGTCGTCGCCGTCGTTATCGTCGTCGTCGAGGTCCTCCGTCGCCTTCTCATCTCCTCGTTCTCCTAGATCTCCTCCCAGAGAATCCTTGGAATCCGGAGACCCTATTCCGTTTCTCGTTTGCGGCCTCTTTGGAGAACACACGCCAAAGAGTTGTCCTCAGTGGTTATTTTTGTTTTGTTTTCTCTCTCTCTCTCTCTCTCCCATTATATTTCCCCCTCTCTGTGTCTCTCTTTCTCTCTTCCTCCCGCGCGCTCTGTCGTATGATAGCTCGCAGAGGACGGCACACACATACACACAACTATATATATGTATATATATATATATATATATATATATATATATATATATCATACGTGAGCTTGTCCGAGCGTGGAGTAGCGTGTTTATGTGCAACTCTTCGTCCGCTAAGTAAATGTTCTTTATTGTTTTATCTTTCGGTCTATCTATATTCTACACTCTCTCCATCTTCTCTCTCTTTCTCTCCTCTCCTGTTTCCTCTCCCTGTCCCTCTTTCTTTCTTTGTGTCTCTCCTTTCTGTCTCTACTCTCCTGTTTCTCTCCTCTCATTTCTATCTCTCCCTCTCTCTGTCTTTCTTTGCTGCCCCTCGCTGCTCGCTTGTCTGCTTGAGTGCTTGATTGTGCGACTGCCAGCTCGGCCTCGATGCTGCAATCTGCACGCAGTTGCCAGCCTGCGGGAAGTGGCAGTGGGCTCATAGGAAGCTTACGCAGGGGGTGCGAGCGAACTTGAGCTTGCCACTTGCCATCGTGCGTGCGAGGTCCGATACCCTGCCGGACACCAACTCTGAGAAGTACAGGCGTG